ATTTTTTCCACAAGTTTCTTGAAGAATCTTCATACTTTTGAAGTCATGGGTTCATTGGTTCAACAACATTAATGACTGCCTATTGGGACTGGCATAGAGCTGGGCAAACCAGAGCCATAGCCCCAGGAGAGACAGTCATGTAAACAGCTAATGAAACACTAGTGGCACATGTGGGGTCAAAGGTAAGACTGGAACATGCGGGAGGCACAGATGGTGGACACTGACCCTGGATGGCAGGGCAGGGGGCAGTCTCCCGGTTGATCCTGCAAGGCCAGAGGCGGCTGGGTCAAGGGTGGTGAGACAAAGGGCACTGCACACCACGGCAGGAGTGACCGGAGGCATGGGCGGACCAGGCGGAGTCCCGCTCTAGGCTGCAATGCTGCTTTTCACAATGTTTAACTAAGACGTCAGCCCTGATGACTGCATCTGTCACAGGGACACAATCCGCTGGACAGAAATCCAACACCCTCTCACTTGCCGGTGGCCACCAAGAATGGCAGTGGACGCCACCTTGTGCAAATGAGCTCCCTGCACTCGGGGACAAATGTCTACAGAGGACACAATTAACTTGGTCACTGCTGCTTCCACCATCAACGCTCCCCCTACATGCATGACACATAATCTCATATGGGCACACACGTGTTTATGGGTACTATCCAAAGTCAAAAAAAAAAAAAAAAGCTGTCACACTGAATATCTGGGTTGGCAAGTTAGGCGTCAAGCTGTACCATCGGCCAGAGAGCAGGAAAACACCCACAGGACAGGGAACTGGAGTTCCTGTGTGTGGCTCCTCCCCAGCTGGGGCGTCCCCAGAGCCCTGAGTGGCTGTCCCACCCTCTCACCCTCTGTCCACATTGCTAGGAGGGTGGCTGATGCTAACCAGGGGCCAAACCTGAAACTCCCACGGTGTCCGGAGGGTATTGTGTGTCCAGTAGGAACATGGGATTGAACGACTCAACAAGATCTGCCCACGTATGTTTCTTTCCAGCACAGGGGGCTGCACAGTCACCCTGCCCCACCCCCGGCCCAGATGCCTGAACACAAGCCCAGTGAGTTCTCCTGCATTTCTCTGCCCTTGAGAAGGATTTAGCCAAGGGCTGTGATGTTTTGGACAGGCAATTGCCGTTGCAACACAGCTTTCTCCAGGGTTAAGTGCAAATGAATCGGAAACATGTGGCCTACATTTCCCACAGAATTGAATTCACATGGGCTTAGATACCAAGGGGGGAACAGTGTTTTCCAAAACATGGTTCGAGCACTGAAAAACTCCGAGTGCTGGGAAAATAGTTTAGGTATTCGTTTAACTTTTAACTACGGCCAGAATCACTCCCCCAAAACACTATAAAACTTCAGTCAGCTGGACAATGTGTCATGCTCAGAGAAAACACAGACAGGGCGATTAACACCCCCGGCCTTTCACGACCGAGTACGAAGCTCCACGGAGCAGGATGAGAGCGGAACACCGATGCTGAGTGCCAACACTGGGACAGGGAGTCACGGAAGGGACACGCGCTTTTATTCAGGGACCTTGGGAGCAGGGGGGCTCCGGCTGTGCAGATCTGTGGTGGGGCCTGACGCTGTGCATCACAAGCCCTGAGGTGACACCCGGGGGGCTGGGTCAGGGCAACACTGGGAGCAGCCAGGGCCCCGCACCACACACGCCTCACATCACAACCCACTGCACACGTGGCTTTCCTCCAAGTCACCAATCTCAGAGCTGAATTTGTTTGGTGAGCAGCAGGAAAAAAAATGCAAGCAAAATTACATACACGGGAATTAACATATCCTGCTCAAAAGGTATGATAATTGCTCATTTACATCACAATACCCACTGATTAGAAGTAATGAGTGATGCATTCATTACTGCCCATGAACAATAGGAAAACAAACAGGAAGCAGGGAAAATCCATCCCTCCCAGCTCCCAGCTCCCTGCTCTCTTACCCAGCAGAAGTCACCGAGGCACCACAGGCACTGCCTAACCCTGCTCTCAGGCACTTCTGTTTACCACAGGACTCATTAGCCGGGACTCTGCTGGGCACACGTGGGTGCCCGCTTCTCACAACAGGGTCCCGTCCCTGTGACGGTGTGGGTGTGGGCCCATGCCGGTCAATCGCACATGCATGGAACCACACAGAGCACGGGCCAGCTTCCGCTGTCATTTTCCAAGGCCTACGAGCAGGCAGAGGCATCTTCCCGGTGTTAGGATTCCTGCACTTCAGGGTGTGGTGCCCCCAGGTCTATCTGTCAGCTGGGGTTCGGGGATGACGGCGGGGGACGGACAACTGGAGGTGGACATATCTGAGGCTCCCTGAAAGCGTCCACTCCTAACCCACAAGGCTTCTGGAAGTAACTACAGCTTCTTTCCTGCCCCTGGGCTGCACGGCGGGCCATCTTTCTGTCTGAACAGCAATCTGTGACGAGGAATCGTGCTTGTCTGCTGTCCTTCTCCTCCCGCTAACCTACAGCAGCACCCTACTCTCCTGGAGCCGTGCACACACACCATGGTGGCAAAGTTCAGCGGTGCTCATCAGCCCTCCCACGTCCATGCCGGGACGCGCACCTCACCATCAGTCTGCCTGAGACCAAGTCCCAGGCTCCGAGTCCCGCATTCTGCCGCACTCTCGCGACTGGCTGGTTCAGTGGGCTGGTCATCGGGTGTCTGTGTCAGCTGTGTCCCCAGGATGACCCCACTTCCTTAGGAAGCTGGACTCCGGCTTACGTCTGGCTAACCGGAAGTCAAGTGGTACCTGTTCTAGAAAAAATGACCACAACATTTTTCGAAAGATGTAACAGTCCTAAGTTTATCCTCTAAGAATTAATAACTACAGATGAGGACCTCAGAAGGCGCGTGGAAAATGGAATCGAGGTCTAGGCTTACTGCGACGCAAAAAGAAAACCCTGACATTTACAGGTATTTTCGTGACACTCAGTTTCCATGAACTTTCTGAAGACCTCGGGGTGCGGCAGCACTGTGCAGGGCTGGGTTTGAGGAGGGAGCAGATGGTTTCTCTTTTCACCAAGGAGGTCTGCAGTGGAAGATGGGAAGACAAGACCGCCTAAGAGTGGCCGTTCCAGCGCCAAGGACGCTAGTGCAAGAGATGTTAGGGACGGCAGGAACTACAAGGAAGGGGGTGCGAGTTGTATGTGGAAGGTCAGAAACACTCGTAAAGTGCAAGCAGAGTTGTGGAGCCATCCATGATGCCAGCATCACACATGAGCACCGGCTCACGTCCCAGCTGCTCCACTTCTGATCCAGCTCCAACTAATGGCCTGGGAAAGCAGCAGAAGATGGCCCAAGTGCTTGGGCCCTGCACCCACATGGGAGACCTGGATGGAGCTCCTGGCTTCGGCCGGGCCCAGTTCCAGCCACTGAGGCCATCTGAGGATGGAACCAGGGGATGGAAGATTCTCTCTCTCTCCCTCTCTCTCCTCTCTGTTACTCTGCCTTTCAAATAAATAAACCTTAAAAAAAAAAAAAAAAAAAAAAAGGACTAACAGGGGTCCAGATTGGGGGTGGAGTCAGGAAACCCCGATTCCAGCTGCAGGAGTAGGCATCAGGTAGAGACTGCAGGGGTGGGACCAGGGAGGAGAGAGGCCCTGGCATCAGACAGCAGGAGACGAATCTTCAGCAAACAGCACTGCTCAGGACCAAGACCTCACAGAGGTGCCTGGTATTGTCAAAGAGTGATGTGAAGAACAAACGAGCACAGTGACGCGGATCGTAAACATAAATTTATACTGGCAAAGTAGAACTGTTAGGATCTGTTACACACGCACACACACACACACACATACACACACACTAAGGTGTGTGTGTGATCTCACTGGGAAGAACAAGAATGATGATAGGGAGACTACCTTTATAGCCACCCCAGGACGGACAGCATTTGTTCAAGCATTTACAGTTCAAACTCACTTTGAAATTCATTTAGAGCTCCCTGTATTTTTGAAACAATGAAAAGCTTCGTGTGACACTTGGAGTCCCTGCTTGTCTACCCTGGAGACGTCACCACCGGCGCCGTGGTTATTAATTATATCAATCTGGCTGTGTCTCCTTGTATGATGGGAACTAATTAAATCGGAGCACGGGCCATTACGGGGCCTGATTGCCAGCCCCCCATTCACGACGAGTTCCACTCACAGAAGCCACATTAGCCCACGCGCTGAGCTGGGCTGGCAGGCGATGTGTGTGTCCTTGATGACTCCACACAAAGATATTAATTTCAGCTCTCCAGCTCATTCAGAAAACCGCCTGCGTATCTTGGGAGAGCCCCTGCTGCTGTGCACGCGTGTGTGCGCACGTGCGTTGAGCCCAGAGAACGCTCGCCAGCCGTTAACGGAAATTAACAACAACGTAAAGACGCTTCCATATGCCCCCGCGGCGGCCCTGAGACCGGATCGCCTGCTCGCACGTTTAAATTGTCGACGCAGATTTCTGATTCCAGAAGTGCACTCAGCAACTTCATCATCACACTCACGAGAAATAGAAGATATTTTCACCTGGGGGAAAGTATTCCTGGGGCCAGCGCTGAGGGATTTTATTTATTTATTCAAAGACGAGGCGATCTTCTGCATGCACTGGACAGACACAGAGAGCGGACAACACAGGAGCCCTAGAAAGGGAGCTGACGACGGTCAATTCCGCGAGATGACTGAGAATCTCACACTGAAATCCCCACAGGTCGATCCATCCAAACCCCTTCCGAGACTAGACGGACAGGTGTCACAGCCCTACCTCCCTCTTCCCCTCATGAAACCCCTGTGTTTCGTCCCGGTTCAAACAGTCCAGGAATCCCCAAACGGTGGGTAAAATTCAAATACTTGGTAAATATATTTCTCTGAAGCTTTGCTTTGTATTTTTTTGCCTAAAAGTAATCATTCCAATCTGACGTGACTTTAAAAGATGGTGTTCCAGGGGCCAGTGCTGTGGCGCAGCGGGCAAGCTGCTGCTGGTGAGTCCCGGCTGCTCCACTTCCAATCCAGCTCCCTGCAAACGCACCTGAGAAGGCCGGAGGTGGCCCAGCACGCCCTGCCAGCCGTGGCGGAGACCCAGAGGAAGCTCCTGGCTCCTGGCTTTGGCATGGCCCTGGTCCAGACATCGAGGCCATTTGGGAAGTGAATCAGCAGATGGAAGCTCTCTCTGCCGCTCTGCCTATCAAGAGTTTTTTTAAAAAAGAATAAAAAGAGATGCCATGAGAAAGGAGACCACTGCCACACCACAAAAACCCTTAGGTCTCGCGCCCAGATGGGGCTGCTGTGACTGTCACTCCCCACCCTGGACTTCTTTACAGCCAAGAGAATAAAGATTTGAACCCACTTTATTCCAATTTAAACAGTACTAGTGGATGCCTATGTGAAGAGGTTGTAGAAGCAGGGATATTAAACACCCCAGACACAGGTTGCCAGTAGGAAAAATGGGAGCGAGTTTGAGACAGGGTGGGGGTAGGGGTGGGGTGGGGGTGGGGCAGAGGAGCTGGGGAGGGCACATCCACTCAAGTGCTCGTTAGCAGAAAACCCACTTGTTTACCCAGAGAAGGCCTCAATTAGCGGATGGTGGAAGCACATAATTTGTTTATTGTTTCCACTTTGAGGAAAGGTTTTCTTACGTATTTCCAACCAAAATAATGGCCCCAGTGGTGTCGGAGCTGTCTCTGGGGGCAGCTCCTGCCACCTGCACCGCTGGCTGCGACCCCTCCCCCACCCCAGGCTCCCTATGCGCTCTCTACAGCGTCACCCTGCATGCTTCAGAGGGGCCCAGATCCTGGCGCAACCTCAGCAGAAGATGACCACACCTGCGGACGCCCCCAAACAGCAGCCTGCAAAGGAACACGCCCCGCTACGGGGAGCAGAGTCAGCCGATGCTGAATCCAAGACCGCCCGTGGGTGCCGAATGCGAGTGTGCAGTCTTCCCAGCCCTTCTAGGACCAGCCCAGGGCGTGCGTGTGGGGGGTCGGTTGTGCTGCCGTCGATGTTTTTATTAGAAAAGTCTTCATCGTAAAGTTTAAGGCTGGTATACGAAGCCATGTGCAATGCAAGGCGGCAGTAAGGGTAGTACAGTTGTCAAAAAAAAGATTAAATATTCCAAATTGTACTATGGGCTGGCAGCGGGGAGATCGTGCTTGGGAACAGCACAGGTGATGTGAACTGCGGACCCTGGGCCTGCTCACGGCACAGATGACGCACAGCACAGACCCCACGCTGCTCCTGCCCCTCCTGTCTCCCTGTCAGCCCCCTCCTGCTGGAAGCAGATGGGGTGGAAGCCCCTTTTCAGAGCTGTGTTTCCCCTCCTGATCTGAAGGAGCAGGATAAGAGAGCAGAGACGCCTCAAATCAATCTGGGCAGCGCCCCGCCAGCAGCTGCACTACCTGGAGAAACCTTGGCTTGGCCCGCGCTGCCTTTTCAACATCGTCCTCCATTCCCTGTGACTGTGGCTGCTCGCTGGGCTGCTGGCTTTGAAGCTTGACCTTTGCTTTCTATCCACTCGCTGGCCCCACACCCCCACCCACTGGGCAATTAGGAGGCGAGCTCCACGTTCCCGCCCCCCATTTTAGCAGCACGTGTGATCAGAGGCCAGGAGCCCCGCCAGTCAGAGGACATCACAGGTGCATCGTGCTCCTGGTTAGCAGCGCGACACCTAGGGTGGGAGCCCTCGCTTGCCTCAGCCCCTCCGCTTTATCTGCTGCTCCCGCCTGTCCGTCCCCTGCTGGGCCTTTCCAATTTCTTCAAGTGCCTCTGACCTTATAAAGTCATTTACACAAATTAACATGCCTGGTCCGGAGACAAACTATTACAGTGAAACACAACTGAGAGTGCGGTCTCACGTATCACCGTCTGCAGGAGGCTTTTCCTTCTGACTGCATTAAAAAAAAAAAAAATCACACGTGCACAGATGTGGTACGTCGACAAAAGCCAGCAACGCGTTTCCGGCTGCAAATCTCCGGAGACGGCGTGTGTACCCGGATGAATGGGTGAAAGATGCCTGGAGAAAAACTGAGCCTCCGGGTAACACCAACAGGGGCACCAGTAAGCTTTCCTGGGCCATGCTGCTCACTCTGACTCATAAGTCCTGCGCAGCAACGGAGAGGTCACTGCAGCTCCAGGTGTACCAGGGACCAAGCTCAGCCCCAGCCCACGGCTAACTCTGCACCAGACCACAAGCCACGGGGGCCAGTATTTTGCTTCTTTTTAAGATATGGCTTTTAAAAAATGTATCCTTTGGGGCTGGTGCTGCGGCATAGGGGGTCAAGCCACTGCCTTTGGTGCCGGCATCCTACATGGGCACCGGTTCAAGTCTCAGCTGCTTCACTTCTGATCCAACTCTCTTGCTATGGCCTGGGAAAGCAGTAGAAGATACCCTGAGTCCTTGGGTCCCTGCAACCATGTTGGAGGCCCGGAAGAAGCTCCTGGCTCCTGGCTTTGGATCGGAGCAGGTCCAGCTGTTTCAGCCATCTGGGGGAGTAAACTAGCGGATGGAGGACCCCCCCCCTCTGCTTCTCTATAACTCTGTTTTTCAAATAAATAAATACATCTTTTAAAAAATGTACACTTCTATTTACTTTCATCTTTTTCAAAGGCGGGGGAGGGGGGAGAGATCTTCCATCAACCAGTTCACTCCCCAAATGCCTGCAATAGCCAGGAGCCAGGAGCTCCACCTGGGTCTCCCACCTGGGTCTCCCACGTGGGTGGGAGGGACACAGCACTAGAGCCATGGCTGCTGTCTCGCAGGGAGTGCACAGGCAGCGAGCTGAAAGGCAAGCTAAGGCGGGACTTGATCCCAGGCACTCCTGCGTGGGAGGTGGGCATCCCGAACGACATAATCCCCACACCAAATGCCCACCCCAACATAACGACTTTAACACCTCTGCAAAAAAGAGACCTTCTGAGGGCTGGCTTTTCAAACCCTCCTCTGCCTCAGGACTCCTCTCACAACAGGAGGCAGACTGGACCAGCCAGCACCGCCTGAGCTCACCGGCAGAGCACGGAGCCTGCTGTGGGCACAGGGGTGAGACCTGTGGGTGAAGCTTGGCCAGCCCCAAGAAACAGAACTCTGAGGTCGAGTGAGGGGACAACACTGTGATGAGACACCAGCATGGCAACTTCCAGTAACCTGTGTGGCCCGTCAGGGGACAGCTGTACATCAACAACGGGAACGAGGCTCCAGCATGGTCAGTGCTATGGTGAGGCCAGACGGGACATGAGCTTGGGGGGCAGGACGTGGCTCCCCCAACCTGCCGCAGCTGAGGGGCAGAGGCAGGGAGAGGGCGGCAGGGGCCGGCCACAGTGGGAAGAGATGGAGATTTGTCCTGGCCCTTCCAGCAGGGACGGCGCACGGGGTGGATTCTGCACTGCCCAGTGTCCCGTAGGACCAGGGGCCTGGCTGGGTGTCACCAAGTGGCCCCGGGCATGACACCACGGCTGCGTCACTGCCAAGCAGTCCCGCCTCCCCTGGTGCAGGCTCCTATCACCACGGTAACACAGGATGCCCGCAACCAGGGTGCTTTGGAGGGCAAGCAAGCGCCCTATAAATCTGTTCGAAGTGTAAACAGACCACCTGAGGATAAATCACGGTGATTACAGAGAGCCAGTGCACAAGAATCTCTGCGAACATCCAAGATGAATAAGTGCCCTTCACTGCCAAGACACTGGGAACTCACCGGCCCACAGCTCAGCTCCGATTTCCTCACAGAAGCCGTGACCTGGCGAGAAGCAGCCCCACCCCACACGGCACTCCTGCCCCACGCAGAGTCAGGCCTGGGACGGAGCCGAGGGCCGGGGAGAAGCAGCGGGAGCAACCGGACCACGCCAGACCCAGCCTGCTGCTCAGTTTCCTCCGCGGGGGACGTGCGGGCTTGGTTGTCGCAGGTACTGACCACGAGCTGCGTGACCTACACGGAGCTCCTTCTGCCCTCTGAGCCTCGGTGAGCAGCAGGGCCAGCACTGACAACTCAGCCACAGCTGATCTGCTCACGGCTGGCACACGACAGGCGTGAGCACTGCTGCCGACCAGCGCCATTTAGGGAGAAGTGACCGCCCGGGGTGGCGCTGCAGCAGGTCCTTGACTTCTGGGTGCCGTCGAGCTAAAATGCCGAGCCGTGACTGCAGCAGGCCTGTCGTCAACGCTGCCGGCCAGCTCTGAAGCCTTAACTCATATGGGGGCGGGGATCTGAGTGACAAAGCTTCGGTTTGTTTATTGCCCTCAACAATACCTATCTGAGTACGTCCGTTTTGCGAGCGGAAAGGCACTTCTGTGCTAAAACCCTGAGCTTGAATCTCACAGCCCCTCACCGAGATACACAAGGTGCAACAGAAACAGAACCAGAGAGCTCTGGATGCACGCGGCTGGCACCGAGAGCAGCCGGCCGACTGCCCCGTGCAAGCCAGCACCCCACCAGAGCACCAGTTCAAGTCCCAGCTGCTCCCTGCTCGTAAAGCACCTAGGAACAAGCAGATGGGTCTCTGCCACCCACAAGGGAAACCAGGATGGAGTTCAAGGCTCCTGGCTTTCACCTGGCACAGCCCTAGCTGCTGTGGCCATTGGGGGAGTGAACCACCTCACTCCTTAACTGTTTCAGGGCGTGTGTCTGGGAGACACGCCCACAGGATTCTCCTCACTGCCCGTTGGCTTGCCCTCCTCAGGCCCTCCCAGGGCCAGCCGCTCATCACAACAGCAGGTCCGCGGCTCTTTCTGGAGCCTGCTGACATCCGGCTCATGGGATGGCTCAGAAACTCCTAGTTCAGGACATCCTGACGGGAAATGTTGGGTCTGACCTCTGTGCAGATGCCCGCTCCTGCCGGCACCTCTGACAGCCCCAGGCAAGGTCCCTGTAGACTGCAGTGTGGTTCTTCCCAAGGCAGAGCAGGGGTCGGAGGGAAAATTACGGGGGCAGGAACAAGGCTCACACCCAGAGCCTGCTCCAATCTACCACGCAAGGGTCAACTGACGTGCCAGGGAGGGCTCGGGGGTGATCTCCATTACCACTGCCCTCCTTTTCAGTGCATGGGGCTGGCGAAAAGCCAGACGTCTTCAGTCTGCCCATCTGACACCAGCGGCTGGCACAGGCTGGCAGTGTGGGTCTCCTGGGAGGGGTCCCAGCACCCGCACACACCTGAGCCCTGACCTCCTGGGGCCACCCCGCGTTATTGCCCTCACAG